AGGGTCATATTGCACTCAAGCAGGGTCCTTATTATAGAACTCAAAGTACCTGCAGAAGGAGTTAATAATTGTTATGGTCCTTATTATGGCATGCAATGATGGTCCTTTAATTTGACGCACACATGGGGGAGCCTTATTGTAGTACCAAATTATGAGGTTAATATCATGGGTGAAAAATTAGTCCTTACTTTTGGCATACAATTTCAGCATTGATAATTTAGAATTTCACATGTGAAATTACAAAATTGTCAAGGCAATGTCTGGTGCGAAAATTCTCAATACAATAGACAAGTCAAAACCCCGTAATTGAGAGTAATTTGTCACCTATGATAAATATTAAAAGGTAATTAATCAAATGGTTTACTCGTGAAATTAAAAAATAATTTCACTTGTGTTTTGTCAAAATTCTTATAATTTAACTTGCCTAAAGGCCTGGGAAATTATTAGAATTGTGACAAAATACATGTGAAATTACTTCCTATTTTCACTTGTCACCATTTCATTACTTATACGTTTCACGAAAACTATAGATTTTAATTGTATCATTATAATATAGTATATATCTAGTATTAGGACCTCTATGTAAACCACTTTTAGTGATGGAGCTTCCTAATAAAAGATTGTTACTACTGCTACTATAACTTGATTCCTGTTTTGACTTATTACAACAGGTCCTGAATATAGACTCTTAGTGGTTTCTTACCTGATGTGCATATTTGCAGTCCAGATTCTTTGTAATGATTGACAAACTTGTTTGCGATTTTTTCAGGTCATCTTTACATTCAAGTAGATCATGTTGACATTCACGAGGCAAATTCAAACCCTGTATTCATTAAAGATGAGTTCTCATTATAACATTATCCTTGATGATATTCAGCTGCAAATAGGCTGTTTCGTTACTATCAACATCTCTTCCTCAGAGAGGAATTTTTTAATCTTCTCAACAGGTGTTTTGGGCCTTTGTTCAAAACAGTTGTTATACAGATCTGCCAAGTTAATTGGTAAAGGAATCTGTCAACAATGTATGCTTTGGAAGGTTATTAGGTAGTATGTTATTTTGCTGGTTTTTAGTTACAGCTTGTCAGTAGCAAGGCTGACAATTTCATGTTCTAGGCATTGTAAAATAAGCCCTGGTTGTTTTCCAGGACTTTCCAGGACCATAATGTTTATAAGACAAAATCCATGACCTAGGAAACCCTGAAATGTTATGCTGTACGGAATGCAGAGTACAAAGAATTTCTGCTTTTAGAACAGATAGGATGACACCTGACAGTGTCCTTTATTGAAGCAGAGGATTCTTGAGAAGTTGTTGTTGCTGTGCTTGGTTTTTTCGGTCTCAGCTAGCATAACAAATTGACGTCAGTTTTTTCAGCGTCTGTCCTCTCATTGATGATAAATTGCATCATAACATTGTGAAAGTGGCTGTGGAACTACAAGCCACAGACGAGTGGTTCCGCAGTAAACTTTGACAATGTTATGACAAAATTTACCATCAATAAGAGGACAGATGCATAAAAAACTGACGCCAATTTGTGTTTTACAATAACAAGACCCCAAAATGGACAAATGCCGGAAAAAACAAGGGAAAAGACGCCATAAACTTGCTGTAAACAAAGATAAGTGAATTTCATTCAAAACTATGCTACTTGATTGGCTACTTAAAAAAGTCCATAAAATCTCATGGGTTAAAAGTTGACAGTGACAGCTGAAAGTTGACCTTGAAAGCTGCATAAATTAAAATTCTATCTGTCTGTACTCTTATTGATGATAAAAATGAGTCAATCAGTACATGAGAAATTACATAGTTATTGTAAAAAATGTCTTTGATATATTTTTAAGTTAAACTGTGTTTTTTTTCTTTCCTTACCAGGGGCAATAGAATAGTAAAGAGACGTGAAGCTTCCTCTAGATGTTCCCTTGCTTTGTCTACATACTAAAGGAAAAGTAAATAACATAAAGTTTACCAGTTGAGAGGCCAAAAAGTGGTAGTTACAGGGTGGGATATTTGACTCCAAATAATTTATGGCAGATTCAATAGCTTAAACCATAAGCTGAGGAGTATTGATTGTATTTTGACTGACCTTTTGATAAGGATTGTCGTCATCTTCAGGGCATTCCACATAGTACTTCACAACACCTACAAAAGACAATGACAGTTAATATTTTAATACCCCTAGTTACTCATCCAACAAAAAATTTTGGGGTGAGTAATTGCTGACAGAGTCAAACTTAACAGGCTGGTGAACTGAACCCCACTTTCTCAAACACTCAAGGCAACATAGCCCATTGATAGTTTAAATGACTGAAAAGGCAAATCCAAGGGGAAATGATTTACGTTTGAGATGAAGGAAAGTTAAAGGTACATGTTTACACATAAATATGAGATTGCAAGGTTTAACTGTACACACCCACTCAAACATTAAAGATATAATTACATAATGTCATTTATTGCTAGCCTAATATCCTCAAACAACCAAAAAACACACATCATGTCAAACATAAAATATATCTACCTGTATTTTGTAATGCGGGTTGATCACGGATGTAGTAGTACACAGTTCCTTTAGGATTCACACAAAGATCAGACATCCCCTGTAGTCACACAACATTATCCCAAAATTACATGGCTGCAGCTTTTAAATTTGTAAGAAAGTGGCTCAGCAGCCTAAACTGGGTTGAAGTCCTGACAAGTGGATGGCCAGGGGGTCACTGTGTTGTGTTTTTGGGTGACACCTTCTCTTATGGTCGTCTTCTCCCAGGAACATAAAATCAGCTCCGGAAATTTGTCAGGCAAACTTGATGGAAACCTAACTAGTGGATCACTTGACATGCGTTAATCAATAGCTTGCGTGTAAGGGAGAAGCTATGCACAAATGTTTTTGTCTGCAGTCATTATAAAAACCAGTGCTCGGTGAACACCCTTACAATTAAAAGAATTTATTGAAATTCAAGAGAAAAATGCCAAGTAAGTTGAAAAAAATCTCTGTGTTCAAATAGCATATTTGCCAATGGATTGGAATAAATTATTTTGAACCTGTGACCACTAACAAAAGGACGTGTCATTGTCTGTGTACATAGGACATATGATAACTTACAATAGCCACAGCCAAATCTACTCCTGCACTTGACCAGATTAGGACAAGAGAGATAATTCCAAGTAATATGGCACTGAAAAGATTAAAACACACTTTGACACTAAAATTAAATAGTTTACAATGATATGATAAACATCTGAATGCATGTGCATTTACAGTGCCACTATGATCAAATTCTCGATACTCAATTTTTCACATTTTTGCACACAATCTGTCTTTCCCAGATATCTTGACAAATTTCAATCTATTACGAACATTAGACCTCATGTGTTTTGGACCTTTATTTCCAAGAATTTACGGCCACCATTGATTTTGCTTGTTCCAAGTCTTGGTTGAGAATTGGAGGAAATGACGTCATTTTCTCACAAATACCACACGGGTTGAAATTATAATTACAACAATTACTACAGCAATTTGCATAAAGAATAACAAAAACTTTGGCTCATATATTTGTGCAATTTTCCACATTAATTGCTATTATAATTTCAACTTGTGAGGTATTTTTGAGAAAATGACATCATTTTCTCAAATTCTCAACCAAGACTTGGAACAAGGAAAATTAATGGCGTCCATAAATTCTCGGAAATAAAGGCCCAAAAACTGTGTATTCTAATGTTCGTAATAAATTGAAATTTGGCAAGATATCTAAGAAAGACCTATTGTGCACGAAAATGTAAAAAAAATAGATATCAAGAATTTCATCATAGTGGCACTATAAATGCAGGTAATTCCTTCTTATGACTGGCAGAAATATACATTGTGAAGCAAACAGCCAATTAATGATAATTATTTGGATAGTTGTTTACAATATTTTTCACTCAAAACATTAATTAGTATGTAAGTTGTATTGTAAACTGGTGGCTGTAACCATGTTATTTAAACCTGGCTCTGTTGACATGTTGACAGTTCTTTAATATGCCATGTGTAATGGATTGTCAGGTGCTTCCTATGTGTTACAACAATCTCCTGCCCTGACCCACTCGTATTACACATAATGAAAAAAGTTCTGTGTGTATAATTAGCTGATTGTCTTCTGAGTACACAACCATATTTCCACAGGGTCCAGGGGATGGGAAAGAGAGGACCCTAGGACCAAGATTGATGAGCACATGTAATCCACTCTGTGTACCATATAGAATAAACACCTATAGGCTGTGATTGGAGAAACTGCAGTTGAACCTCCAGTAGCGACCACCTCTCGTAAGCGATCACCTCTCCTCAGTGACCAGTTTTCCAAAATAACAAAAGTTTTCAACTCAAATCACTATATTTGGAACCTCTTGTAAGTGACCACCTCTCGTAAGCGACTGCGACCACTTTTAGAGCTAAAAGTTTGAAATTTTCTTTTATTTTTAACCTCCCGTAAGCGACCACTTGACAGATTACTGAGCAGAAATTGGATAATAAGGTGTTGTAACATTATTGCATTCCTGGGTAGTACAAGAGACGAAAATTTCTCAATGGGAAGTACCATGTTTCTTTCTTCTCCAAATTGACTTTTCATATGAGTAAAACATTTAAAACACGGGGTAAGTTTCTGCAGTTACCATGTACTAATCAGTTTAATGAGACAAAATTTTGACCCAATAATATTAGTCTAAGTTCTCGTAAGCGACCACTACCCGTAAGCAACCTCATAGACTTGACATTTTGGTAGTCGCTTACGGGAGGTTTGACTGTAGTTGAGTAACTTACAGTATAAATCCACATCTGCTTCGTCTTAAGATAGCATAAGTCATTACAATGGAGGTTAGGGTATTCACGCAGAGTGTACCAAATGTACTCCACCATCTGGAATGAAAAAACAAAGTTACAATACAATGTAGGTTTTTTCAACACAAATATATTTCCACATGCACATATATACACCCACTGTGACACCACAACACCACCCCCCACCCCCCTCACAAGTTCTGTTATTACAGATACAGCCACTTATTTTTGCTTCAAACCATACATGTACATGTACCTCAGCTGGCCAAATTTCCTTCATTTTCAATCAACTCACACTTTAGTGGAGGCATCTATATTACTGTTGTTGTACATTGCTTTAAGAATACAAACCATTTGCTATATCTTACCTGTAATACTCAATTTCCTGGATATAATCATTGATATCAGGCAGGTTAACTTTGCGTATTTTCACTATAGTAGTGACAATGTCTCCAATGCTACTACGAACTTTATCAATGAGTTCCAACCCAGCAGAAGTGATTCCATGACAATCTCTAACATCAATAATGNTGGAGATATTATCTCCACACCACTTGCTGGAAATCAGGCATTTTTGTGCAAATTTTAGTGATTTATAGGTGATCCAAAATTTGCCCAACATCACTTTCATCCCTTGTCTCTTTCTTTACTGTTAGTCACCATGAATGATAACCCACAGCCATTGTTGTATGCGGCTTTTGTCTTATGGATAGGATTTCAACAGATGCGTTGCACATTTACAGTTTGATCTCATACAGTGATTTGAATCCACAGCAGATCGATTCATGCTATAATTGTACAGTGAATTTAACTAGAAATACGGCCAAATAGGACTTCTCTGCTCCCTGTGGGTCAAGGTCTGAAATTTTCCCGTAAAGACTGAACATTCAAGGTTAATGGGTTGCTAATTATTATATGGCTTTTTGCTCTACTTTTCAAGCCTGTAAACAGCCTGTGGGCTTACAGGAAAATAATGCCCTGAAATTAGCCAATCAGAGTCCACATTATATTGGCTGCAAACACAAGCCATATAATTAATATACAGTAACTATTGCAAAAGGTATCTAGAAATGGAGAATCCAACTGCAGTTAATTCAGTTACCTTTGACTGGATTTCTAAGAGGCTGTTGTTAACATTAGAAACTGCAGTCAACACTCCTTTTACTCCCATGTCTAAAGAATCATTAAACACAAAGGCTGCAATTATGAAACCACTGTAAGAAAAAATACGAGAAAATAATTTAACAAGAATTCTTCACTTTGTTACATGTACATGAACATGTACATGTAGCATGGCTAACATTGTTTTACAAGTGTCCTACCAATACTAGATCAGAGCAATTCAGAAAATAGTTTCAAGTTTTGTTATTGATTTCTATACCGTGAAAAACAATGGAATCCCGATTTCTCAAACCCTCAATCTTTTAATTTGAGCCTTACAAGACATGAAACTTCAACCAAACATCATTTCCCTTCCCTTAGTTGCACAGTGTAATTTTAACCTAACTGAATTCTCGAACAACCCAATTTTCAAACCAATTTTCATATCTCATGGAAATTCGACAAATTAGGATTCAGCTACCTTCAGAGAGGAAGCAGATCATTTCACCTGTAAACAAGGCTTTGAACATATGTTCCAAGAGTTAACCAAAGCAGAAGAGCCTCTGATAAGTTTCTTGGCTGATATCAAATGCTGCATCAGACTAGCCACGATTCACAAGTTACAGCATTAAATAACAAAAAGATCACTAACCTGCATGTGACAGATGCAAATAGAACAACACATCGCAAAGCTATCACACACTTTCGTAGTGGTCTTTGTTGTCGTTTGTCACAGGAACACCAACTTGCTAAGAAATGCCCACAGAAAATGAGACACGCTAGTCCACCAAACAAACATGGACCCAAGGCATACAGAAACAAAACCTGCAAACGATGACACAGAATGTGAACAATGCTTAGTGACAACACAAAAATAGGCTGAAGTCATACAGTAAGGAAGTTCGTGTATATATAATTGTAGCAGGGCCTGTTTGAAATACATGTAATTGGTATTTCCAATGATTTTCAATGCGATATTCAAGCTAACCATAGAATTAAAATTTCAGGCAAACCAGAGAGCTATAATTAGGCTGATTGAAGGGCCATTCAGGCTAATTAATGTGCCATTTTACATGTACTGGGCTAACTGGAGCTATTCCAGCATGCTAACCAGAGTGCTATTTAGGCTTACAGGAGTGTCATTCAACCAAACCAGAGCTAGTACTATACTTGAGGTTAACTTTATTTATTAGTTTTTACTCTGAGAAGAGATTGACTCATATAACAGTATGACACCAGTATATCAGTGCATCACTCGATGCTGGCCAAAAATAATTTTTCCTTAAATTGGCCTGCATATGGTTTATCTATAAATAGGGGTGTGGGAAATCGTTAAGATTTGAGGGTACATTCCTTTGTGATCTGGATCAGGATCAGTGATCCAAGATCACTCGGATCATGGTGCATCAAAGGAACCGATGAATCCACTCTGGTCACGGATTCATCGGTTCCGTTGATGAACTATAACCCGAGTGATCTTGGATCTCTGATTCTGATCCAGATCACCCCAAAGAAACGCACTCATTGAATGTACCAGTTCTGAAGATACCATCAAGAGAGTACAGTTGAACTCTCTCATATAAAGAATAACCATACATAACTAAAATCTGCTAAAATATTCCCCTACCTGTTGGTAATCAGGAAGTGTGGGAGCAAAAATGGACGAAACATTGTCAAAATAGAAGTTTAAGTGGGTAAAAGAATGAAAGAAATCTGCAATCCTCGGTAGATAAGAAATTTCTCCAGCACTGCAGTTCGCCATTACACATACTAGTACTCAGTCTCTCTCCGATCGTCTTAGTCTCGAGCGGCTTCTCGCGAGAAAACGCGAGCAGGCGTCGCCTTACGGGTTCGGGTTAGGGTTAGGGTTTGCGTTTGTAATATGCTGTTTAATTCATTTTCAGAGGACTGTGTTGTACACATTTCATGTTTTGCGTCTGTCTCTGTCGTCTTTGTCGTCTGATTGGAACGTGTCCAAGTTGGGGAAAAAGACGCCGGAGGAAAAAAAAAGCTGTCAGTGGGTCAAAGCAATCTTCGAAATTCTTCCTTCTATAGGGATAAGTGATATGTATTCTGTTCAATAGGTTTAAGATTGTTCTGATATAATAAATTGAAAGTGTACTGCCTCGTTTTTAAACAATGAATAATCGGACAGCGGGTACTTGAAGTGTCAGTGAAACTCTGGCTTGATGTCATTACGACGTGTTTTCTTTGTTTGTATTTTATCTTCTTTGATTAATTTGTTTAGTGACGATAGATTCCAAGTTATGTGATTTAGTTAAACAAGACTTGGAAAGGAACTTTGAGAAACCGATATATATATATATTTTTTTTCCTATTGATAACTTGGAAATAACATTTATACAATAGAAAGGTGCCAAACTAATTTTCGTTTCGCATGAGAAAGACAAAACTCAATTTTTCGTACTTTATTTCCTTGTGCTGGCTTACCTATACTCAATTTACTTACATTGGCTCTCGTCTATTATTATACAATGTCGACATTCTAAAGCCTGTATTTGTTAATCAACATTAGTCTAATATTAGCAGGTCATGCATTAAACGCACTGCATTAAAATTCATTTTAACAGCTCAACCATTTACGACACAGTCACCCACAGGGATCAAACTATAGCACTGGACCGATCCATCAATCAATCAGTCAATCAATCAATCAATCAATCAATCAAACAAACAAGCTTTATTTGTCGATGATGACATGGAAAAGTACATACTACTTATAAACCTGTGACTCATTTAACACAAGATAAAAAGTCTGGGATGAAAAAGAGAAATTAAAAATTAATAACAGAGAACTTTACTGCTAATTTCTTGACTAGCCTTGTGAAACTAAACAACAGAGTCAAACGGGTAATTTTCTCCTGTGATTCTCCTTTTCTCTGGGGTTGCTACAAGATTTGCATGTCCTCTAAAACCATTGGACGTACTCCTGCGAGGTCGTTGTACCTGTTCCAAAGTCTCTAAAGCGTTTTCCTTATCTCCGAACATCACAACACTAAATTGCTAATGCCCGCACTATCTACATTTATACCGGCGCAATCTACGCAAAAATCCCTCTTGCTAATACATTTTCACATCGCAATGATTCGGCAATTCTCTCTATTCCTATTCCGACTGCTCAGCGGCTAAAATAATAGTGAGACCGCAGACCATCCCTCCCCATTCCCCCCCCCCTCCCCCCGCCACCCCTGCTACTGAAATACCAAACTGAAGCAATAGAGTTATGACACAGAAATTCAGGTATGTCGTTTGCAGTCTATGTCAAGCCTCCCATTCTTAATAGCTATCATTGTTCCTTTTTCGTCTGTTATATCTCTTTAGTGTGTCTCTATCTTAGGAAGCTATTATTTTCTCCGATTTGAAGGTTATTTTAGTACGTGACAAAAATCCGACGTAAAAATAGGTGGGAGTGTCACATGTAAATGCTGTGAACAAGTCGTTCAGGTTTGAGTTTGTAACTATGTCACGTAAAGAAAAAAAAAAGGAAAAAAAGGAAAAAACTATGTCACGTAATATATAAATACCTAGCCCTTAAAACTATACAACCTACCTACGAAGATTCTCGTTTTACTGTAATCACGAACAACGGCTTGTAGAGTTTGATTTACATTCTTAAAGTATTTACATTAAAAATACATCTTAAGTTGCTGTTGCAATCACTTTAAACAAGCTATCTATTCAAAGCGATCATTAGAGAAGCTTCAGCGAATGGATATAAAAATAAGACAAATTTACAACACTTTGTTATGCTACGATATAAAAATACTAGAGCATTCAACATTTACATTTATGCTTTCCTTACATATATTTACATGCTTATACAAAACTAAACGTAACAGTAAAAACACTAGGGCTTAGAAGCACCGAAATTTGTTAAAAACTTAAAATATAAATACTATTAACAAAACGTCTTCTTGGGAATATATCAGGTTTCATCCCCCTTAAAAAAATTCTACGCAAGTTTTCTGCTCTCAGATGGACTAGGTTTTTGGACTTTTACAAGTGACCTATAGCTCAAGTTTCTCGGAAGAGGTTACACCTCGCAACTAACAACTATAAATTAAAACTTAATTTAAAGCTCTAGACGAACGAAGAATAGGATGAAATATGCGGTTCACTGGATTGGAAATTGTCATTATTATGGCCCATCCTGTCCAGATACATCACTGGAGGAGGATTTCTCCCTCCGTCGGAATGGTCGCTAGGAGAGTCTCGACTTGAACCTTTGTGGGACGGTACAGGAGATATCTTACCGCCATATACCGGGTCTACGGTGTGGTACGAAGGAGCTGGAGATATTGGAGTGGACGGAGAAGGCGGGTTGCGGGACCGCGACTGTTTATGTGTTGGTACTGCCAGGTTTGGCAGTTGTGGCCGTCTCCTGCGACCGGGTTCCTCGTCATACTGAATTCTCGGTGGACCACTCGAGTTTACAAGGGTCCTATTATCTCGGTGGTCATTGCTGCTTGACGAGGCCGCATCGGAATATTTTGAGCTCCCGTCAGAATCCCGCGGGTTCGGGTCGAATTCAAGGGCTCTTCGAAAACTGCTACTTCTGGGTTCTCTCCTGTTTCGGTTCTGAATCTCTGTCTTCGGTACGTAAGGGAAGTTTCCAGTGTTTGGGCGCGTTGGTGACTGTGGCGGCGTACTACTATCGTCGTTGTAATCTATCTGATCCCGTGACCTGCGTAACGGTCCCGTGGGTCGCGGGGCCCTTGAGCGCGAGTAAGGTTCTCTGCGATCATGATAAGCTGGTCTCTTCTGCTTCTGTTCGTACTCGGGTGACATAAACGACGTCACCGCCTCGGGAGGAAGTTGAGACCGTTCAATGCGGTCTAACTGATCAGCGGATTTTGCCAAGTACCTACGGCCGTCATAAGCGGGTGGACCATCCCGATGATCCCTTGGTAATGACGTCACAGAGAACGACTTAAGAGGTCTCGATATCGGAACTTCATCGGGAGCGTCGGATTCTTCCGTAGTGTGCTCGATAAGATTTCGGTCTGACGTCGGCCTAGGTCGACCAAGCGAGTTTCTCCATTGCATGTGGTTAGGATTGTTAGCGTAGTGGTTCACGAAGGTAACATCTTGTTTCCGTTTGTAAGTAACCTCTGACACTCCACTATCGCTGTCTGAAAGCTCCTCCTTGGAACCCAGGCTGCTCACGTCCTCTTCCGGCTCGGCATCGTCCCGGTAAGTACTAAAGAGAGGGGGGAAAAAAATAAAGACTTAGTTAACTAAACTCGACGGTTACTTCCAGCACTTAAAATCATTAGACATCAGCGCTATATGACTCAAAATTGAAAGTGAAGAATGATCATCGCAGTTAATTTTCCAATTTAAGCAATTGGAAAGAAGAAGCCTGAAAAAATCAGGGCTTCAACGGGATTCGAACC